TTTTCTAAATAATATTTGACTTGCATTATCAACACATTTTTTAATCAATTTTTTATATTTTTTATTATTTTATTATTTCATATATATTGTATTATAAAAAATATTATAATATTTATTTTAAATAATATCTCAAATAATACCCTATCCAAACACTACATAAAAAAATGCACCGAAAAAACCTCCTTATTATTGATAGAGTCGGTGCGCGTTGAGGTTATGAAGTTATTCGATAATCTACAATAGGCTAGGCTAGTAGGCTGTCAAAGAATCTTTGCCTCGTTAGATTTTACGTCAATTCACATAGTATTAAGTGCTTGCTTGTGGGACGGAATAAAAAACTGGTGGCCATGAGAAAAGCGAAGCCAAGGGACAAGGAGGGCTAGCCAGCTTTTTTTTTTGAAGCCTGCCGATTTTTTTTTTTAACAATTTGACTGGCTGCCGGGCAGAGAGTGCCCGGCAGCCAGCATTTGCAGTCTTTGTCAGGTGCCGGGCTGACACATGTGTCTTTTATAAAAAAAAAAAAATTGTTTGGTGTCGGGTGCCGGGCTCTGTCAGCCCGGCACCCATAGATATATACCGAACCCCTGTCAGACCCGCAAGTGTCTGAATTTTTTTTTTTACACCTATATTCTAATCAATTAGCCCACAAGTACGGCATTTTCATTTCTATCCTGAACAAAAGACCAAAGTATCACATTTATTTTAGATTAATTTTGTATATATTGACGATATATATATATATATATTATTATTATTATTACTATTGGATGTATTATATTAATTAATTTTAATTTTAATTATATATATCATACATTTATATTATATATATTGATAGCATATACCAAATTAGTGTTTTTTTTAGAAATTTAAGAGAAAAGTTGCAACATGGTCATGAAATTATGACTTGTCCGATTTGCACAAACCATAGCAGGAAAACATTGGGGGACGGTCCAAGCACACAGAAACTGACTCCAACTTTATTACAAGTTTTGGTTATATGTTGGTTATGTACAGGAGCAAGCAACAATTTTAACGTTACTTGCTGTTTCATATTACGCTCTACTCCAGCAAAACAAAAACATGAAAAAAAAAGAAAAAAAAACAAATAAATTCTAGAAGAAGAGAAATATGGTTAATTAGGACCCCAACAGCTTAAGAACATGACCGTCCGAAGAGATTCTTCAGCTTGTTTCAGCTTGTCAGTCTTGGCAGCAACCTTGTTAATAGTTGAAGAATCAAGGGCACCTGCAGAGACCTTCCTTGAGTAGTGCCTTGATGATGAACCACAAGTGGAATCCTTCAAAGTCTTGACAGCAGAATCGTACTTTGATGCCTGCTCTTTCATCCCCTGCACCGCCCTCATTCCTGCCTGGTACACCACCCTACTCAAAATATGAGCAAAACTCACCAAACTTCTCACAATTAATGGTTGTGCATGGAAGGGAATTTGACGACTCCTTTTGTTTCAGCCGTATTGAAGGGTTTATATATTGGGATGAATTCATATGGGATAAGTGAAAGGATGATTTATGTGATTTGATGGATTCTTGGAAGCTAGTGTCCACCGAGGGAGGTTTGTAGTCAAGCAACCGGCTCTGTGAGACGGGCAAACCGGGGGCTGCTGAGTCAGGCTTGAGCCTTGTATTTACCTTGGGCGGAGTTTCCTGCAGTAATTTGCACGCCCCAGCTGGGTGTTAATGTTTAGAAGTATCTTTAATAGCAAGATAATGATCTAGTCGTTTAATGAAATTAGCATGATACCTATTTCGGTTTTAGTTTTTACTTTGTCAATACACCTTGCGGAATAGATCTTTTGCGGCGTAACATGAAGGTTATGGAGAACACATTCCAGCAACAGAAAACTCGACAAGCAAACACTGGGGTCTTGATGGGAAACAACCTCTTATTTTTAATAGTAACAAGATAATTAATAGAAAGTGTATTTGATATTTCCACGTCACACACACTTGGAAGGAGATTTGTTTCGAAACTTATCCACATGGATGGCAATTAATCAATGATTTGTCCAGGAAGTGGGCTCCTCAAGCATATCCGGATTAGATTTGAGTGGTTCAACGGATATCCATGTCGACACATGCGATTGTTGGAAAAAAGTTCAGCACCGCTGCCTGAGTATTGGATAAACGGCGCCCGTGCAATAATCTGTCAATCACAAGGAGAGGTCAAGTCAATTTGATTTTCATTTCTTAAAGGGAACAGAGCATTTGCAAATTGATGATTTTTTTCTCGATATTGTAATTTTGATGCCAAATATTTGGAGCATGAGCACTCTTAGTTCTTAAAGTTTGAAAGAATGTAAATGAAGTTCCAAATGTTTTAATATCTAAATACATTTAGTATTATTGACTTATTTTTATCAATTGCTATCGAAATCTAATTACATGTTGTTATCGCACTAACTAATTTTCTTAAAATAATTAGAAAAGTTGAAAAATATTGTTGACCTTAATTTATACTAAAATAGGACTAATTAATCGCATAATAATGATGTGAATAATAAATCTTTAACCCAAAAATGTAAAAATTCAGTTGATGAAAAACAAATTAGGTTAAAACTAGTCACTTACATGACTAGCATATGAGTAATTAGTCAATTTTTATTACAGATCATGACCAGCAATTTTTTATATTGATTTTTTAAAAATTTAGTTGCTGGCACATGATTAGATTCTTGTAGTAATTGATAAAAATCAATCATTAGGACTAAATGTGCCTAAAAATCGCAACATTTTGAATTACATTTGCTTTTATCCAAACTTTAGAAATTAAAAATGATCATATGCCAAATGTTTGGTATCAAAACTGTAATTTCCTTCTCCATAGCTAAGGCTAAATCTGTTGTAATGGATCTAGCCCACTTTGATGGAGTTTTTTTTTTTTTTTTTAAGAGTTTGTATAAAATTTTATTGTAATTTATTATAGAAATTATAGATAAACTTCTATGTATTTGAGGATTTGGAGAAAAAGTTTCTTTTTTTCCTTTTTCCCTTTTATTTTTTCTTTCTTTTTTTCTCCTTTATTTCCTCTCTTCTTATTCCTCCTTGCACCACCATTGCTCTTCCTCCTATCTCCCCCCACCACTGGCTGCAGCTGACACCTCACTCCTCTTTTTTTTTTCCTCTCTCACCTCTCAATCTCTTCCGCATCTCTCTTCCCTTCTCCTCATCTCCTCCTTTCCCTTTTTCCCCTTTCCTTTCCCTTTCCCTTTCCTCCTGCCCCCCTCCCCTTTCCCTTTTGAAAAAAAGAAGAGAAGAAGAGAGGAAAAGAGAGGGAAGAAGAATGAGAGGAAGGGAGGAAAAAAACAATAGGGGAAAGGTGGCGATGACAGCAACAATGGTTGTTCGTTAAGGGAAGTACAGAGGTGGGTTGAAGTGGAAATTATTAGAGAAGTTGGTGGTAGAAAAGGGAAATGAGTGTGTTTTTATATGACTTGAATGGCGTTTTTATAAGTTTTTCTCTTTTTTAACCTTCCACCTTGGAATCTTGAACTTAATAGTAAAGAGAACCTTAAAAGTCCTCCCTTGACCATTGGACCAACCCAATGATTTGTTTTTACAAGTTATTGTAGCAAAAGTTGGAGAAAAACTTTGGTTGGATTGCACTTTTGTTTTTTCAAAAACTACTTTTGTTTGTAAAATTTACAGTAACAACTCAAAAAACACACACAATCTAAAATAAAACTACAAAAATTAAAAAATAAAAATAAAAAACCTATCACATTTTTTCTTCCACCCACTACCACCCCTCGCCTCCTCATTTCTTCGCGAACACCTCCGCCACCGCTTCTCCTCCCTCTTTTTCCTCAGTCCTTCTCCTCTTTCTTTCTCTTCCTCCTCTCCCCTTAATTCCCTTTCCCCCAACAAATTTGAGATGGAGGGGGAGGGAGCGACTCTAGGGAGAGGGAGAAGGAGATGGGGTGTGACTAGGGGAGAGGGGGAAGGGAAGGGAGAGGAAGAAGAGAAAGGAGGGGAAGAGAGGAAGAGGAAAATGGAGGAGGAATAAAGAAGGAAGAGAAAAAATGGAGGGAGGAAGGAGAATGGTGGTGGTGATCATTGATAGTAGTAGTGGATGATGTTATTTTTAATTTTTAAAAAATATTTCAAAAATTTTAATTTTTAAAAAATATTTCAAAAATTTTAATTTTAAAAGTATCATAATATACATTTCTAAAAACACATTAAAAATATCTAATCATCTACCGTAAAAGTTTTTTTACATACATAAATATAAATTTTTTTAGAAATGCACTCAAAAACACGAGTGCAGATCCTCTGTCCAATTTTTTGTGTCCAATTTCCTGTCCAATGTGAAACTACGTAGTTTCACTTATTACATCTGCTGATGTGGCAACTAAAAATAGATGGCTGTTTGGTTGCCTTATACTTCTTTTTCTTTCTTCTTTTTTGGATTTCCTTTGTTTACATAACTTTGTTACAATTCCCAAAATCCTATTGCTACTGTTATAATTCCCAAAACCTGTTGCCACCATTTTCCGCCTAGAAGACGAAGGAAGTTCTTCAACAAAGCAATTTTTAACAAGGAAGAAATGGAATGCATTAGGACATTGAAACACTCACGGTGAGAATTTTTAGATGCAATCAACGTTCATCCCCCATCATACACTAAAGATTGATGTTAGTCGAACAAACTTCGCTTTCATGTAGTGGTGACGTTGGCAACAAGAAATATGTAGTGGTTTTGCTTTGGAGGAATTCACGGTGAATGGAAATTATTTGATAGGGCCGTTAGAAAGAAAAAGAAATATAAGGCAGCCAAACAGCCACCTATTTTTAGTTGCCACACCAATAGATGTAATAAATGAAACTACGTAGTTTCACATTGGACAGGAAATTGGACACAAAAAATTGGACGGAGGATCTGCTCTCGTGTCCAAAAACACCTAAGCAACACGGATCTTTTGTCTAAAATGGACAAAAACAAGGGTACAAAACAGACCCTTGGTTTAAACTGTACACCGATCCAAACCATTGAATTACTCGAATGCAAAAGCCAAAAAATGCTTTAGATTTATTGAAGTCTGAAAAAGTCCGGACACCAACCAACAGACACAAACTGGCCGTCCTCGCCCGAGCTGCGACTCCTATCCTGAGTAAACCTCCGCCAATAATTCAACTAACGCGGGCATCAGGTGTTGTACATCACCGGCGGGGCACCAATTAAAGGCAAAATAAAATCCAAAACCATCTTTCTTGTAATTGAGGCACCTCATGGATCTCCTCCGCTACTCAATCTCCCGATTACCTACGGCTAATCCTCACCTTAACTTCCCTGCACCTCTTCGTCGACGCTCTTTCACAGTCAGGTTTAATATCACCACTCTCCTTTTCTCATTTATGAAATTTGTCACATATTCTAGATTTTCAGAGTTAATTCTGTGAATTAAATTACATTTTGGAATTTTACCTTCATCAGGTCGAGCTTGAGTCTACCTTTCTCGGAGGAGAAAGCAGTGTACTACAAGCATCTTGAAGCTGCAGTCGACGTCGTCGAGAGAGCTTGTCGTCTCTGCGTCCATGTAATCTCTGCAACTCTTTTTTTTTTTTTTTTTCAATTTTAATAACTATGGTCTTTATTTTATAGTAATATGACCTTTACTTTCCCTACCTTTCTTTAATTTTCGGATGCTTGTATATGATTACTGTTTTTCATTTTGCTAGCTGAGATATTCATATTCAATTTGTGAACCTATTTTTTCCAGGTATTTAATTTATTGAGACAAAATTAAGGGTCTGTTTGGTTGGAAGTAAAATGTTTTCCTTGGAAAAATATTTTCCGTGGAAGTAATTTTTCATGAAAATCATTTCCCTTTCATCATTTTCAGGTGTTTGGTTAGCTTATTGAAAATATTTTCTTACTTTATTTTTCTGGTGTTTGTTTAACTTTTGAAATATTTTCACTTTTATCTCTATCTTTACTTTCTACACATTATAACTACATGTTTTTTCCCATGCAAAATAAGAAAATTTATCTCATTGTTTAACTTTAAAAAATCTTGGAGAAATGTATATATGAATAAAAAATATCTTCTTAAGCAATAAACAAATTGCTGGTCATTTAGTGTCAAATATCAATCAAATGCAATGCTTATTGTGACATATATCTTGCACTCTCACTGTTGAAAGTTTCTCTAGAAAAGAATGTTCCTATTATACATAATTAATTACTAGCATAGGATGAGTAGGATGAGGTTTTTTTTTTATTTTGAATATACTAGGGGGAGGGTTGGGTTGGGTTGGGTGGTACGGGGGAGGGAGTGTAAGGAAGAGGTCTTGGGTTCGAGTCCTCCTGTTTACACTAAAAAAAAAAGAACATGCTACAAGATGTTTTCAGTAAGTTTAGAACATACTACAGGCGGGATGCATGCATTTCGGAAAACAACTTCAGTAAGTTTGGAAGGGAAGTTATTTTCCATAAGATGAGTGAAAATATTTTACATAGGAAAATGTTTTCAGTAACTTTTGTGCAACCAAACACGGGAAATTAGGAAAATATTTTCCTGGAAAACATTTTCACCCGAAACAAACGGACCCTAAGACTTCATTTTTGCTTTCATAGCTTCATTGTTATTTATACTATGGATAGTGTAATTAAAGCTTTGGAGCAGAATATTAATTTTTTTCCCCAAAATTTAGGTTACTTTTGGATGGTATTTCTTAGAAGAGTTTTACAAAAAAGTTTCACTGTTGCATTTCGGACACAAGCGTATTTGTGAGATAATAAAATAACTAGTTGAAGAAAGTGCATGGAAAATCATGTGTTCAATATCACGGTCAAATGGATCCTTCCGTAGAAAAAAATTTAGTTTCAAATCTTTTCTGGAAATACGCATCTCTTTTCAAACTAGTTTATCTATTTTATCATTTTATGATTTCTTGACATCATGAGCCCAGAAAAAAAATACAGTACTTATCTTGATTATTTTTGTTATAAGTTCATTCGTCAAGTTAGCAGTTGGTTCTATTGGTGCAAAAAAAAAATGATTTACATTTTTGTTTTTATTGAGAACATGGGATTGTGTCAAATCGTTTAGGTGAAAAAATCTTTGTTCTCGAGTGATGGAAGTATCCTCGAGAAAAACGATCAAACCCCTGTGACAATTGCAGATTTTGGGGTGCAGGCTCTTGTTAGCTTAGGTAATAATGTCTTTTCTCCTGCCCTCCACCCATGGTGGTGAAATTATTGCATTTTACTAAGCTCCTTTGCATGAGTACCACATTCGTCTTTTTAACAGGATATTGCATCTATAGCAGATCTAAAGTTTTAGTTGTTATATAAAAGTTTGCGAGTTTTGGTGCAGTACTGCACTTCACAATTCTTGTGAGTTTGTGGTTCTGGTGCTGAGTACAACAAATATGTACTCTGTCCACATTAGAGTCATGAGATATATTGCAAGAAGATATGTACTTTACAACCTTCTGACCCGATTGAAAACTGTCTTCAGTACACATAGGAGTATGAGTTTTCCAAAGGCTGCATTCACGAATGGTGTACAAGATTACTCAGAGCTTCCTTTTGTTAGTCATTGAAACTTCTTTAGCCCATCCTTTTAACATTTTAGTCCATGTTATAAATGCCTAGGTGACTAATAAAGTGACTTTTGCCAAATTTCTTTTATTGGATACATCATTGTTACTGCACTGCATTGACAAGAGAATTGGGCGTAGTGCTACAGCTAATCATAGAATCACAAAGACTTGCATAGTGATGAATAACAGATTCCGTCTGCTTTATTGGGTTTAGCACTGTTTATGCTTCATGACTTGCTTCATTTAAAGTAAGATTTTCAGGGAGCCAGTTCTGGAAACTCATTTTTAAACAAATTTGTTGAGTTATACAATAAATCTTGAAACAGAAACTTCGTGTTTGTCCATGGAAAATGATTTACGTCAACTGCTCCTCTCTATCTGGTATTTATGACTTTTTATCCCCTTGCTTTTGTAGAAATGAGCAAATTATTTCCTTCTATTCCTCTGGTAGCAGAAGAGGACTCCATGTTTCTGCATACAAACAATCTGGTTGATGCTGTGGTTGATGTGCTTGCTGATAGAGCAACTTCCAGAGATAAACTGACACAAGATGATGTTTTAGAGGCAATTGACCGAGGGGGCAAGGATGCCTATGCTTTTGGACCTAAACCAGCCACTTATTGGGTGAGTTATTTTGACTTTTTAAACTCTTATTCAATGAACCCAGAACAGCTATGTTGATCCTATAAATAGCTGTTATGCTTTTCATTGTTTTGTTTTGCCGACGAGATTGTTCTCGAAAATGTGTATAACATATTTAAAACAAAAATCAGAACTGAGTGAAAACTTTTAGACAGAAGATAGAGGTAGTTATAAACCAGAGTTGGCTTGAGGAAGGAGAAAATTGGTATTTAAATAGTGTTTAAGGCTGAAATAATAGAATTGGCTGCCGAGCTTCTCTTTAGCTGTTAACCTGAGCCTTTAACTCCCTATATATCAGTTAATTTGTCCTTGTGTCTCTCTGCATGTGTGATTGATGGCAGATCCTCTGACAATGTTGAAATGTGTATAACATATCCAATTACTTCCCTGCACGTGAAAATGATATGAATGTCGTTTTACATTTGATGTTACAGTTTCTTTCTCATAGCCTTCTCCTAATGATTACTGTCAATGACATGATTTAGGTATTGGATCCCATAGATGGTACCAGAGGATTTGTAAGAGGTAGTGAGGCTCTTTATGTGGTAAGTTGTGCTTTGCTTGAGTGGTTCTCCATCTATTGAGACAATATCTTATAGATAATAGTAGGGTTGCTTACAATCCAGTGTTCTGCTAATGTATTTTCTGTGCAAGATATAAATAGTCAACTCTTTGACTTCACTTTCTTAGTAGCACCTACCTTTATGCATTTTTCGTGCCAATTCGAATAGTTTATACGCTCGCAATCACTTGGAGTAGAATTTCCAATTATTTCAATTGTTCTCTTTTTCAAATTGAGGTAAGCACGTGAACTGAATTTTCAGGTAGGCTTGGCTCTTGTAGTTGATGGAGAGATTGTTTTAGGAGTCATGGGCTGCCCTAACTGGCAGGAGAGCCACCCTGACAAGTCTAGCTCAAAAAACCAGGAAAATGAAAATGCTGTCTCCATGTCTGGAATAATTATGATCTCACACATAGGGTGTGGAACATGGAGAAACACTTTGTGGGAAACAACCAATATGATGGGTGGATTACTAGATAATTGGATCAGATGCTTTGTTGATGATTGTCAAATAGTTCATGAAGCACGCTTTTGTATTCCTGATAGTCAAACATGGGAGTCACTGCCATTATCGCTTTTATATAATGCAACAACTGAAGCTGAGTATGTTGGGAGTAAGGAGGTTCTCCTTCTACCTGCTTGCTGTGGAAGGTTTGATTTTATCTCATGGATTATTAGAATGGCATTCTTCAATTATTTGATTTACTTGAAATAGCTTAAAGCTGTGAACTCAATTGGTTTTATCCTGTCATTGGATGAGCGGGGAGCAAATTCTCATGTCTTCTTTTTGGATATCTTATAATTTTATTGGATGTATCAGAAGGTTCGGCATGTACTTTCATTTCAGACGCTAGTTAGTTTGCTAATGTTCCACTAAAATGCCTAGTTCTATGTCTACCTCGAAAGAACTCAGTGCATCAGATCTTGGAATTTTCCCTTGCCTTGTCAATCCTTGGTCTGATTGTTCTGCTGTGAGCTCCACTACACCATTTCCAACCTGAAGTAGCGTTTTCTCAAGGATAATATGGATCTGTGATGTAACAAAAATTTTGCGCAGCATCATTTACTTGTGGTCCGTTATATCAAGTGCTATATATAATCTACCATCATTCTTTGTTCTGTTCTTTGACCGTTTCATACATCTCACCATAGTCTTTTCCCTATTCCTTGGGGTTCTGTCAGATGTCACAATCAATCTCAAGCATGAGAATTTCACAATGGCACCACAAGATCTTTACTTCTTTGTCCAGTTTTCTAGTGTCAGACGTGTTTTTCTCTGTCCTCATCCGTCCAATGCATATTCCCCTGGTTTCTCTGTTTCTGTGGGCAATCTGGAGTTGTCAATAAAACATGGCACATAATCTAATTCAACCTTCTTTGTTGTCCCTTTAGTGATCAAATAACCTCTACACTTGTATATTCTCCTCAGTTCAGTGAGTTCTTCAAATCTATTCCAGAAAAATAAAAAGATGAGTAGAATGTGTAAACAATTTGATGAGATGTTTAATGATAATTTCATAGTTAAACAGATGGTCTTTATTTCCTGTGTACAGTTTGTGCAAGTATCTGATGGTGGCTTCAGGGAGGGCATCTGTTTTCATCCAAGGTGCAAAAGCTGGAAAAGTTATAAAGGTATTACAACAGCTTCAAGCCATTGTTAAGAGTGATTTCAGTAACATCATTGATGTCGTTACATTCAAAATGCAGGCTTGGGATCATGCAGTTGGTATTATTTGTGTCCATGAAGCAGGGGGAAAGGTACACTACCCAACTTCATTTCTTTGTCCGTGTGTACTAGTTTACCCCATTGGATTGAATAGCTAATTCATGAAACTCCGCACCTGAAAGATTGTGAAATCTACATTGGTGATTGTATTTGAATGAATCTGTTGCAGCATATAGTGGAACAACGTTCTTATTTATTTATTTTAAAAAAAAAGGGGAAAATTTTGAAAAGATACAGAAGGGATTGAAACCTGAAACTTAGTTCTGCTGCATACATGCACCAGGAGAACGGACATGCAAATGCATGGCAAACATTTAAAGCGAACTATCTTTTTATTTTCCATTAGCCTCAGTGTGGGCTGCTTTGTTGAGGTTGTACTTGGGACCTTCAACTTTTCCTACCTTTTGCTGTTGTTTTATGCCAATATGGTAGTATCTTTGTCAATTAAGGTAGTCTACTTGTACGCTTGGAAAGAAGCTTTTATTCTCTTTCATTTGATTATGTGCTATACAGAAGAAAAGTTGGTTATTTTCCTGATGCAGAATTCATAGGTCCACAAGTATAAATCTGCATTTTATACAGTTCTACTTTATTGCTGGTGAAAGATGGAAAAGGATTGGCTTGTTAACAGGTGACTGACTGGAGAGGGAGTGAACTTGATTTTGCAGCAGATCAAGTCAAAAGGAGAATCATATTTCCGTCAGGTGGTGTTCTTGTGACAAACGACAGCTTACACCAAGCTATACTAGAGATCATATCATCAGGTTCATTGGTGGATTCATAGTACAAGGCACTTGAGACCTCTTTTGACAACATCCTTCATTCCCTTTTTTTTTTGGTGCCTGTTTCACATTGATTTCTACATTTATGTGCCCTTGATGGCTTCATTCTTTCAGATTCCTGCTATTGTACCAAATACCTTGTTTTACCATACTGAGGTACATTGGTGCAGAGACAGAAGTTATGAATCATCATGTAATAAAATTGTAGACCGCAGAGGAAGTTGTTGCAAGTAGTAAGGGTTCATTATTTGTAAGAGGTTCTGAAGCTACTCTCGTTCATATTATTCATCAGATATTTTTTGTTTCTATGATTTTCAGACACTTTTGAACTCGAGATAGCTCTCTCTCTGGATATTGATATGGTTTATTAAATGAGAATATTCGACTTGTCTTAAGCTACCAGGATTAGATGTCCGTTCCACTAGACTATCTTGAAGACTCATTTTCGTGCTGTTTGTGATATTCATTTGCCAGCATTTGTTGCTATTCCTAACCAGCTAGGCTGCTCTGAGTACATTATCAACTCCAAAAGTTTGCATTAGTTTGGCAAATACTTGACGCTAATCTCATTCAAGTTTGTAGGCTTTTTTTTTTCGCAACATAGATGTCCTATAACCTACTCTAATCTAATCTAAGGGAAGGGGTAATGGGAATGGTCAACTAAGACCAGCCATATATTGTGGCAAATTTTTTGTGGGAGGCAGGGGTTGAAACCCTGACTTCCATCATCACCATTAAGGTGATGACCACCGGATCAAATGGCCAGTGGCCATTCAAGTTTGTAGGCTCGTTGTCAATGTTTTCTCCTGTCGTACATAAGAGCCTTTTCTGGTAATCTGTACGTCTTTTCGTAGTAAGTACAAGCTTTTTGTCCCCTTTTTTCTTTTTGTGTGCGTTTAGTCGTCCAAGTTCTTGAAATTGAACCCCATGAATTGGCTTTTAAGTCAATAACAAACTTCCTAGTGAACAGAAGAACTAGTATTTATTAGTTTGGTTTAGTGTTCTAATGTCAAAAGTCCTTTGTTTGAATTATTGTCTGTCGAAAGTCTAATGAGAGAGCAAGACGTTCTCTCTAAGAGCTTCAACTCCATCCAAGAGTAACAAATTAGTTTAAGTTGCTTGCAATTTCCGATGAAACAATCTATTACTGCAAAGCCTCTGCGGACTTTTTCCCGGGCTTTGCCTTTGTTATATAGATGGCATATTTCTCGTATACTTTGTTCATCAGACACAAGTTGTTGCTCCCCTAATCTTCGAGGCTCTCGTATAAAAACGGTAAGTTTGCAATATTGCAATTGACAAAACAGCAAGTATCAAAATTGGCTTTTCATCCGCCACGTAAATGAAATACTAAAATTACATAAGCTAAAATTTCCTCTTCCTACAGTGCAAAATTAATCTAATTTTGTAATCTACTTGGGGTGTTATAAAAATTAAACAGTTCACTAGTCTTGTGGCCAATTAGATACCATAAGAAATCTTCCATTTGTCCCTTCTCATCAGAGTCTCCATTATTACTTACCACAAGAAGTTTAAAATTTGGGGTTCCTTTTGCTTCAGTTGAATTCAACCTAACATCGTAGCTTGTTCAAAATTAGCAGCTTTTTTTTTATATATATATAAAAAAAAATTCACTGTGTAGATTAAGCATTCTTCCACGATAATCCTGTGATGACACGCTTTGCTCCCGTTTAATGTCGTCCATGAGATAATGATACCAGAGATTTTAATTATTTATCATCTTGCTTGGAGCACCCACGTATCCCTCCATTACTCCTTTAATTTAATCTTTGATCTTTTCTGGGAATGGTCTCGAATTTCAATTACAGCCAGGTAATCTTCTTCTTCCTTGTAATATATCACCACGTTCTGATCATCCCATTAGAGTATTCTCCATTAACACAGACTCCATCCACATGTAATGGTGACTGAATCCCAAGTCAAATGCATGAAAACGCCCGCCATCCACCCCTATAGCTTAAACAATATGCACGGGATTTCTTGAAATAGTATCCATATACCTCAAAATAGTTCTAAACAAATCATGAAGTCTCACCCACAACTGGAGATATGGCAACAAATAGAAAATTACATGAGCTTGATTTAGAATTCAGCCAGGGTTTGTTGGGAGCAATTGAGCAGCTCAAAACAGAAACTAGTTGCATTTTTAGATGATGTATTTCCACCTAATATCTATGCTATGCGTAGGCCGGTCGATTTGGAAACTTACGCATAACATCGCGGAAGAAAATCCCGGATTTGGACAAATTGTTGTCTCTTCTGTTATAGAAAAGGTTGTAAGCATTTGCGACTCTTTTTATGGTGTGAGTGCCTTAATCATGACAGCAAGCACGGAGACATTAGCCCAAGGTTATGGAATTGTAATATGTGCGATATAGCTAGCTGCCATAGTTTGATTCGTTGAGGTCAATCTTCCATGAAAAAAAAAACATAGAAGGGAGTGAAAATTTTCTAGATTTTATGTCAGCTTTCTCAATCAGAGAAAGAAGAGGAAGGGCATGGAAGCAAGCAAGCTGTATGGGGTTTGGTCAAAGTTGTACATAAGAAAAGAGCCTAAAGCATATCCGAGTAGACAAATAAAATAATATTTGACCATCTGAGCAAAGCAATAAAGTCGGACGATAATGAGACACTTTTGCACATGATTTTCACTGTTTCTGCAAACTCAGCTTCACATGAATTTACTTTTGCACAGGAAAAAGGAAAAGAAATAAAATGTAGATATTGTATACGCGTCCAAACGTAACCAGTTAACTGCGAAGGCGTTTGACTTTCTTTTGCAAATGTTCTCTTTCCATCCTAATTTTCCAGGTTTCAATTAAATAATAAAGGATAAACGACTCTTGCCTCCTTAGGGCTCCTTTTTTCTTTCTTTCTTTCTTTTTTTTTTTTTTTTTGTCTGTGCGTAAACTTTATAAGAGTCTCGACACCGTATTGGACCCTAACTAATGAATCCAGAATTGAGCACTGTTAAGCACTTTTCACGGCTGATTCTCCCGACTTTATTTCCTCCGTTTATAAGAATTGAACCAAAATCTTGTTTTAGGGACATTAGCTTCTTTAATTATCACTTGACCTAACAACCGTAGATTTGTACCCTAGGATTACTACGCTTTCGTTTTAAAGAAAAAGGATCAAATGTCAAAATTCCGTTGATCCAGACTTTATTTTCTCAAGATCACTAATGGAATCAATAAAATCCAAGGTCCATGGGATCAAAACTTTCATTCTACGTATGGTGCGGTGCATCCAGGATTTTTGTGTCTGCAACTCGACAGTGACAATTCAAAAGTATATATTGGTTGTAAATTAATTCCAAATCAATTTGGTCAAAAAAAAAAAAGATAAAATTAAGAATTTGAATATTCTTTTACTGAAATTAAGAAATCAAGCTAGAAATGAAAAAGTAAAGGCTATGACACGATGTCCACTAATCAAAGATTACCACACTGATAAGTGACAACTGCGTTTGTCAATGCAGTAGAATGATGGATCTTAATTTGGTCTAAATAACTCTTAATCAGACCTCAAAAAGTACGGCATTGATGTTACATCACTTGGTGTAGTAGACGTGTCCCATTCTTGATGGGCTGAAGAGTCCCAGTTTTTCATGGTGCGGTCCCTCCAAGAAGGGGATTGTTAGGGTATTGCATAGAGCCACGTAGCAGGTGTTTTAGGTTTTTATCATATAAGGCCTTGCTTGGATTGCTGTTTTTCGTAGAAAAATTTCGTTATTTTCCGTGAACGCATTTCCTTATTACCTTTTTTTCTCACATACATCAAATCGCTACAGTAATTTTTTCATGAAAAATGACGAAAAATGCAATCCAAACGGGACCTAAGCATTCTGCTTAATGACAATAATAAATGTTTCCATTCCATCTTAAGCATTCATTAAATTAATAGGAACAATTAATCACAGATAAATTTGAAGAGTTGATGCTGGTCAGATTGAGTCGTCAGAAGGTTAATGCAATACTCATAATACTAATGTTGAATTTGGCTTGCCTTGGCTAGGCTAAAAGATGTCCTAACTAACATGGCACAACAAAGCTACTGTTTCAGCCAAGAAGCCGATATAATCATCAACTCTAATCATGCCCATTTTTTTTCTGTTTCCATGTCACGTCCCAAGATATCAATAATGTAAAATTCTTGCCCTTTTTTTGATTATGAAGTGAACCCTTTGAAGAGTACTGATATCTCTGCTTCTAGGTGTGGGATGTTTCACCTACCATATCCTCTATATATGTATATATATTTTTTATCAATCATGATAATTAATAATAAAATGGAAAAGGCTCCACATACGAAAATTGCAATAGCGCATGTATTGAGTACAGGTGTCTGTACGCATACATTCAAGAAATGATCTTCATGAATTTCCAGCTCGTTCAAAAGTTCAAACCGCCAGTGCTTAATTTCACCTCTGAAATGAGACGGGAGAGGGTGGGAGATCAACACGAATGCAGAGAAGGTCATAGGGTACAAAAATTTGCGGAGGTGATTTATGGGGATGTAGCTAGCATGCGGAGTTCGTTAATCATTGGCAGTCTACTCATACTTTGGATGCTGATTGCTATATAAAGTCAATAATCGAATTTGAAAATGTTTGACATTATAAATCACTAATAGCAAGCATCCAAGGTCATCCATCACTAACAAGTTCTACATTTTTCTTTCAAGACCATACTATACTGTTGAAGATTTAATCTTCTTCACATAGAGCCGTAGACTATACTGCAAGAAAAAAAGTACTCATATATGATAAGAAATTGCAGTTTTTTCTCCCTATATATGTACGGAGCCTGTGAAATTTTCATCATTTTAATTTACTAATTAGAAATGTTGACTACATGTTTAATTGATCTTATTTCTTCATGGATGATGCTAGATATGACGGCAATTCATTTGCTTTGGTCAATTCTCCATGTGGAAATGGAAGGCCCTTGCAAGAAACTGTTCATCTCTGAAAACAGACAAAGACATCAGTTGAATTAGTGGGTAATAGGCCTAACTTTGCTTGCATTTGTTCTGTATATCACCTCTTCTTTTCCCGTCCACAATTTCCATCAAATGTCATTTTCACTTCTTGATTTCTTTTCATATTTGACCAAGACTTAAATATAATCATCATTTCCTTATTTAATTTAAGCGGTTCTGGGGCCGCAAAACCACAAAAATGTTTTTTTTTTTTTTTTTGCCTTCTTTTTAGGGTTAACAACCACGGATTCTTGATTTCTTACAGAAGGCAAAGGTAAAATTCTTCCCCTGTACCACTTTTTTTTTTTTTTTTTTGGGGGTGTGAGAACCCTATGCATGAATATCACTCACGGCATAAAATTGAAGGGGCTGATTAGACCCATTTTGTTTT